GATTAACTTCATCCTTCCACCACAGACATAACCCTCCAGCCCTCCCATTCCGCGATACATCTGTCGGAAAACTTCTTCCAACAGCAAACTACAATTCTTTCCGTACTACCTCATTGTCTTCGCACGTTTGTTTTGTCTCCATCAAGAAGACAATTTGTGGGGAAACCAGTCACAAAAGCGACTTGAGCGCTTTCACTGCCCGCTTGCTCCCAAACCCGCGGCAGTTATAGCAAAGGATTCTCTTTTATTATCCAAAGGGGATGGGTTCCCCGCACCATTAGCTTGAGATATTACACTGGGTGTCGCTGACTGTACTTTCGAGGCTGGTTTCTTAATTCCTTGTTTCGCGCCCTCCTTGATACGCATATCACCTGGGTCTGCCATGTTTAGCTTGGCATGAGCATCCCTAACTTGCACTCTGGGTTGGGTTGCCTTGTCTTTTAGATGGACTCAACCCCCCCCCCCCCCCTCCCTTCTGCTTTATCCTGTTTGGTACGTGCTTCTACTTTAAAATCCATCTCCTGCACTTGCTTTCCCAGGTTGCCTAACGCGAAACTATGCACTGGAGACTTAGGCATTACAGTAGTTGTTTCATTAATACTTGTGTCCTTGTCCCTCATGATTTGCTCTTCAACAACAGTCCCCCTTTGTCTCTCAACATCTATGTTCTTTTCCCCCGGCTCCTCCATAATAATTTCCTCATCCACTCCCTCCTCCGTCTCCTCCTCCATAGTTTCCAAATCGTGAAATCTCGACTCATTCAGCCCAACTTCCACATCCGCCTTTTGATGTTGCTTAATCATTTCCCCCACCCCATACGATGGGGTCATTGGAGGTTGTTTTCTTCCCGCTCCTTTTCTATTTCTCGGCCTAGCCACCATCCAATCTCCATACACCGGCTCCTCGTTTTCCATCCCTGTATCAGGAGACTCCTCACGTCGCACCTGCGGTGGCTGTTGCGCCTGCATCTTAGGGCATCCTCTCTTAACATGGACATATCGTCCGCATTCGGAACAAATCAAATGCAGCCCTTCAAACTCTATGTAATACTTTTTACCTTCAATTTTATACTTCGATAATAACGGCTTCATCAAGTCCACTTCCACACACACCCTCGCAAACTTCCCCCTTGCACTCGCCTGAGTAATTCGGTCCACCTTTACAGGTTTCCCAATCCGTTTAGCGATTTGTTCAACTGCCTCCTTGTTAATAAACTCAATGGGAAGGTTAGGGAGCTGTGCCTAGACCATTGTGGTCGCAACCTCTGCAAACTTTGGATAAAAAATTTTCACCGACCTTCGTACCGTTAGGTAATAATCCCCAACCAACCATGGTCCTCCTGCAGCCGCCTGTTCATAGTTGAACTGCGAAGTAAATCGCACTACATAGAATCCCCACGTAAGGCTCGAGATTTGTATCGTACCACACTTAGCCCACAGTTACTCCAGCCTACGTGAAATCACCGGGAAAGGGAAAGTTCGCCCTAGCACTTTAACTATAAGGGCTGACCTCCATGGTCTTCTCCATCGTTGTTTCTCTGCCGACCTGAAGGGAATGGTGGGACAAGTAGGATCATCGTCCTCAGGCACTTCGTCATCATTATCGTCCTCTCTCATAGAATTTGCCACTTCTTCTGAATCTGATTCCGCAATATATTAATCCTCATGCACTCTCAGATCATCAAACAGTTGCTTCGTCCCGTTATTCCAAGCATTCTGTTGAGGCTACTCAAGAACCTCCTCGTGCTCCTCCACATCAGCCCTTCCATTCCTGCAGTACCCGGAGGTTCCGACACATCTTCTTGCATCTTCTCGAACAAAGGGTTCAAACTCATCCCCCTTGGTCGCTTCTTGTCTTGCTCTGCCTCTCTGTCCCCTTTACCACTAGGCGAAGACGAAGTAACCGGTGGCCGTCGAGCTCTGGATAACAGGTCCGGCGGTTTAGTTGCCGGGGGGCAGTCCCCGACCCAGGACCAAACATCGCCGACGCGAGCTAGGTTTTCCTAGAAAAAAAATCGACGCTCCGAAAGTCTCTCTGGTCGGACGCGAGCTCGGGGATTGCTCTATTTATAGGAGGAAAACCCCTAAAATATTCCCTCTTTCGTGGGGAAAAGTCACACTTAATTAGGAAAATAATTGATCCCATTAAAATGTGTTCTATTAAGATAATTAACTCTAATTATCTTTCTAATATTCCTTCTATTATTTATCCTACTTATTTTTCGTATATGAAAATATACTGGATAATTAATTAGGAATTTCATTTATAGCTTTTCAAATCTATTCATCCCAACAGCCAATCCCTCGTCACCCACTCTCATCTCCTGTTCGGTCTCTCCCTCAACCGCGTTAAGCTATAGTTGCGGTTGCTTTGTTCCTATAGTTGAGACGGAGATGGTGACGGTGAGAAAGACGGTACGGCTGGTGGTGTTTCGTGCTGGAAGAAGGAGTTGAGACCGCAGGGACGGAAGTGGTGGCATTAGTACGAGGGTGCTTCTCGCCGGGAACTTGTGTGAAGAGGAAGGGATGGGGTCTGCGGGGCTTTTGCGGCTGTTGCCATAATAAACTTAGGTTTTAGTTTTTTACTTCACTCAATTATAAGTAGGCTAAGCAAGGGGTATTTTAGGTCTTTTATGCAAAAATTAGGATGCGGGTGTTACACTTTCCCTCTCCTAGTCACGTAAAACTAGAAACAAACAACTATTTTTTCCTTTCTTTCTAAACTCACGTAAATTTAAACAAGAAACAGACAGTTTTATTTGTTGTATTTTTTTGTTCGTTCTCTTTTTTTTTTCTCACGACATAAAAGAAACTAACATCATAATTTTTTTTGCAACTAATGATAAAAAAATACCTTCAAACTTCTTTTCACGGTTGAGTTTGAACCAGGCTCTGATACCACTTGATATGATCCAAATCCGAACAGAACCCTCGAACTCGGATGATATGACCAAAGTACGCAGCCTCCTTCTTTTAAGGATTTTTGAAGCTTTCTCCAACTTGAACAACTCGAAATAAAAGGGATAGATATGGAACACGATCAAACAGATTCCAACTTGTGTGAAACGCTAATTGGTATATGAAACCAATCAAACAATCACCCACTCGTGAATAAGGCCAATCGCTATCTGGTAGATGCTCGCCACAACTAGACGCGTTCTCTAGTTGATAAGAAACAAGTGAAACTCCTGGAGACTCTCGACAGAAGCTTGCACAAACGTTCACAAAGGAACACGAGTAAAAACTCTTAATTAATAACTTGAATATTGGTACAAAATTCGTAGCTCTTACACCCTCTATTTATAGAGGTCTCAAAACATAAAACTAACCTAAAACAAATAGGAAAACAAGTCTCAAACTAACTAAAAAACATAATACTAATTAAATAAAGACAAAAACTACTTCTTAAATTTTTAAATCACCAAATAAAATAAATTAACTTCAAGCTCGTGAATCTTGCGCCGGTGCGTATCTCTCCTTTTCCTTGGCGGAATGGCATTCTTTGTTCTGAATTGGACTCAGCAAGTACGCTTCCTCTCTTTACTTCCCATGCAACAATTGTCTTCATCCACCAACTTAATTCAACAAATGCATCCCGCATCCCACAATTGCTTTTCCTTGTCCGTTTGTGATTTGGAATTCTTTTTAATTGCTACCCATGTGACACGTCCAAGTCTCCAGGTAGGGCTTAGTATAGGGTCAGTAATCAATGGTTACTAACCTATGTTATTAACCTATGAGTAATTAAATCTAGACTTTTAGATTTAAGTGGATCCAAAAAATTAAGATCTAAGGGTTATCAATTAAAGGCATTTTGTTTTCCCTAGTTTTCTTAATTGGCTCTTATCTTCTTCTTTCTAACTCGGATTTCAATTTTTTTTTTGCACCGATGGAACGAGTTCGTTGTGATCTATTGGATCTATAAATTTCTGTGTGAAAAAAATACTAGATCAAAAATTACCATACTTTACCACTATGGTATGTGATTGGTAACTTGTGGTAACTTGTAGTAAACAATGATGAAAGTCGGAAATGACAGTTAATATACTCCTACTATCATGTATACAACATTCTTACCATATTGGTATATTCATACCATCATGGTACGCTTTCTTACCATATGGTATTAAATTGGAGCATACCATATGGTAATGACAGGGAAGAGGCTCGCACGATTTGAAGTTAGCAACTCGTCCATAATTGAGGTGGCTACTCAATTGATGCAGAGATCGCTTGTTTGATGAATTCGATCCAATCAACCAAGGACAAAGTTCACGTGATAAACGCTCATTGAACAAAAGGTTCTTTGATTAACAATTCGATGATTTACAATGCAATCGACCAAGAACTTAAATAGCTAACTACATTAACAACTCCAAAGGAACTTCCTAATTAGGTTAAAACTAAAAAAACTAAGCTTAAACATAAAAGGAATTAAAATCCGGGACAAATAAGGAAAGAAACTCTGCCTTCAGCTTCAATTCACTAAACATCCCTCGACGCACTCTTTGAGGCTCTCGATCGATGACTTCCAAGTACGTTTGAAATCATCCAATGCCTCTTCTCTATAGATCACCATGCATACTTACATGTAGTATGAAGCTCCTGACTCGATTCGCAATCATCTTCCTGGAATGGAGCTTCAAAGTAGCCTTCCTGAACACGGCTTCATACTTGGGCAGATTCTTACATTTTTCTCGTGTTGAGTAAGCATTTTATTGATTTTTGAAAATGGTTTTCTGAGTTTCTCCTCGAGCTTCCAAACACTCCAACTTCTGGAGGAGAACTCTAGCTTCAAAATAAGTCACTAAACACATATTTCCATTGACCCAGTTTGAAGAACCAAGCCCCCAAAGTAGGCTGCCTAAACTCGTCAAAATAGTTTCGTCAAGATGACACCAGTCCACGGAAAGAATCTCCCTCTCAAGTTTCTTATTTTCGTTAACCCTAACCAACATATACAGCAGGATATATATAAGTTTGCTAATACAAACCTCCACTACATATTTACATATTGCTAGCTAGACAAATCATAAACAACATCACTAGGTGCCACATGGGTTGTCCGGCTGGCCGCAGCTAAGTGCGGGCTGCAACACAACTTGCTGCCAAATTTCGCCCGAGAAGGACATGGCACTTGTCATTTGTCAACTTTCCAACGGTAGATGCCGGCAAACAGATGCACTTCCTCCATCTCCATGATAAAGTTAAAATGGCCGGCTTTGCCTTCAAATTTCCCTCCACTTCTCAGCCCCGGCGGTGGATACGGGTAAGAAGAAACCATGGCGACTTCCTCTCTTCCCTCTCTTCCCCCTCTTCTCCTTCGCAACTCTCACCCTCCTCCGCACAAGAATTCCTGCTTCCTTATCGCCCTCTCTAAACAACGCTTCTCGTTCTACACCAACCGCCACTCCCTCCGCTCTCTGTTCGCCCGATGATGCACTTCGCCGACGGACTCCTCCGCCGAGTCTGCCCCGGCGGGAGATAGCAATTGGAGGTCTCTCCGCAACTTCATTTCTTCTCCCTCCTTCTCTCTCGCACGTTCTCTTTCTGGTTATGACTGAGCACGACTTGTTTGTGTCTTTTTTTCGGCAGTAACTTCTGTATCATAGAAGGACCGGAGACGGTTCAGGATTTCGTTCAGATGCAGTTGCAGGACGTGAAGGAGAACATCAAGAGCAGGCGCAACAAGATTTTTCTCCTCGTGGAGGAGGTATTATTCTCTCACGCTGTTTCAATTGCAGAATTTCGCCTCAATTTCCTGACGAGGGTTGCGTGTCGGCTGTCGCTAGTTGCGGAGATTGTGGATACAGCAGAGGATAAGGGGCCGGAGAAGAAATATCAATAGAGCAGCTGTCCCGGACGACGAGTTGAGCAAGGAGATGCTTGAAATTCAATCAACAATCCCTTTTCTTCGTCATGTGGTGAGATGAGATGAATGACTAGGCTACGTTCTTATTAAAGCTAAATTACACATTGGTCATTCAAATTATATAAAATTTTCACTTTTCCCATCTGATTTACTTTTTTTACTTATTTATCACTAACTTTACGAATCATTACACTCCGTTAAATTTGTCCTATGCAACAGTCAACTATTAATTTTGACCGTTAACAAAATGACCTGAAAAGTAAAATAAATTTATTTTTCCACCTTATGATTTATCATATTAATTAATTGTAAAAATTAATAAAGTAATGACAAGGTGCTATAAAAAGAGCAGTAAAAAATTAACACACAATCTTCTTGGATTTCCCCCTAAATATAGAGATATTAAAAAAAATTCTTAAACTACAACTTGTAATTTTTTTTCCAAGATACCTAAGTTTAGGTTGGTTCAGGATCGAGTTAGAGAGCCACTAGTGGGATCCAAGTCCCTCAGAGTCGATCCACTGCGTTGAAATTTCCAATGAACTTAACTTTGTGCTCAGTTATCCGATTGTAGTGGTAAAAAAATTTATTCTGCATAACTTTTCGAGCACTACAACTTTTTACGTAGAAATATTTTCGTAGTCCTTGAAAAATTATGCGTAGTAAAAAATAGTTCACTACGATCGGATAATCGAGCACAAAGTTAAGGTCATTGGAAATTTCAACATAGTGGATCGAGGCCATCAAACTCGATCCACTACCTCGGAAAGTGGATCTATGCTTTCTAACTCGATCCCACTAGTTGTTCGAGGCTCTTGGACTCGAACCACCCTAAACCTATGTGTTTTGGGGAAAAAATTTACAAGTGTTGTAGTTTAGGAATTATTTTTAACTATTGTTGTATTTAGGAAAAACATCCGTTCTTCTCCCTCCATTCCGGCACATCCTACTGTTGCTATTACTGCTCTCCGGTGCCTCATCCTCTTCCTTCCGGCCGACCAACCGGTTTCCGTCGCCATTGTTGTATCGTTGGCAAATGTCGTTTCTTCTGCAGCAGTACTTAGTTTAGTGCATCAGCGCCGCCGGGTCGTCCAACGACTGGTGATGGTGGCGCTACTGGTCACTTTCACGGCGAGGACTTGTTTCAGATTAGAACGGAGGACGCTGGTCATCGCCTCGTTGCTATGCTCCAAATCTCGCTAGATTTGGTTCTCGATGCACAACGACTTCACTTTCTCTTAACACGCCTAATTCAGTTTCCCGATCTTGTCGATCTCGACCTCTTTGGCCTTGAGCCGCTTCAGCATTCCTTCCTCAATCACTTGGATTATCCTCCTCACTTGCATCTTCCTCTTGTCTTCCAATTTCGCCCTAACTTTCTTCATTTGTTATAACCACACACAAAATCCACAATCAGTCACCAATAAAATCGAGAGAGAAAAATCCAAATCGAGTAACATGGCGAGAAATCAGGCGGTCGACGTCGAGTTGCTGCTGGATCTAGAGGGAGACCCGTCGCGGCTCTTTGGTATTGTTGTTCGGCTGAGGTTTCCTTCTTTGTTCATACATCTCCCTGCTGGAAAGCCAAGAAAAAAGAAAAATTCAGGACGGAAATCCACATCGGAGAGTAGGGAAATAAATAACAAACCAAGTTCCCGAGAACGGGAACACGAACCGTCGTCGGCGAGTAGTTACTGGCTTGTGCCGAGGAGATGGAGAGGGAAGACCGGAAGAGATTGAGATGCCTGACCTCGACCGCCATAACAGAGAGTATATATATATATATATATAGAGAGAGAGAGAGAGAGAGAGATAGATAGATAGATAGATAGATAGATAGATAGATAGATAGAGAATCAATGGGAGCAGAGGAGTTGCGGCATATGACTCCCTAAATTTCGCTTTGTTTGCAATGAAAGATGAGATGCAGTTAATTAATTTATGAGCTCAAATATACCTCCATACCACTAAAGCTACAATCATTGTGATCTTTAGTTGTTCACTCACCTCTGCCAATATTTATTTTGCTAAGAAATTTAGATAAAAAAATTTTAAATCTCACATATCTAAAAGTAGGAGATGGGGATTTTGTGATCGTGGGACCAAATTAGAGGAAAAAAAAAGACTGGAACTCTTTCTCTCTCTCTAAACTCTCTCGCTGCTACTCGTTTTCTCGCGATTGCGATCGGAGCGCGTAAACGACGGGTTTCGCATCCCTCGAGAGGTAAAGCAAAAGGGGGAAGAGCGATGGCGGGATTGTCTGATCGGGCAGTTCGTTGGAGCTCAACCTAAGGTGGCACAGTTGCAGACATGGGCTACCTCGATCTGGGGGAGAGATGGGACTGTCCGGGTTTCCAGATTTGGACCTCGTTTGTTTGTATTCCAGTTTCCTTCTGCATCAACCAGTAAATGGGTTTTCAGATCAGGACCATGGCACTTTCAAGGGAATCAACTCTACCTCCGGAAGTGGACGCCGGGGATACAACCAGTTGCTCCTCAGGTAGAATCTCTTCCTCTCTGGGTTAATATTTGGGGAATTCTTTTGGAGTATCACTCGGTGGAAGGGTTGGAATGGGTTGCTAGCACAGTTGGTCCTCCTCTTTGGATGGATAAAACCACTAGGGTGGGTGGGCAATTGGGGTATGCAAAAGTCTGTGTCGATCTTGCTGCGGACTGTGGCTTCCCATCTTCAATTCGTCTCTATCCAGATGAGGATCCGAGTTTTGCTGTGGAAGTAGAATATTTGAATTTGCCTAGGGTCTGTCCTGTCTGTGCTGTTTATGGTCATGATTGCAATGTTCTGGCTCGAAGTAATAAGAAGTGGGTAGTCAAGCAGAAAGTTCAATCTACTGTTGAGGCAGGATCAGGGGAGGCTACTGCTAATTCTGGGGTGCTGTCTGTGGTTGGGTCTGAGCTGAAAGCTGGGGTTGAAGCTGCAGGGAATCTAGTTCACTCTGTGGTTGATGTTGTGCTGAGTGCCACAACACAGACAACAGAACTTGTGGGTACCAGTGGGGGTGTTAAGGATGTCTCTATTCCTTCTCCAACTGGGAATGCAAATGCTCGGTTTGTGGATGTGGTAATGGGATCATCAGTTGATACTGGGAGTCCTAGTGCCCTACTGCAACAGCCTGTTGTAGCTAGGTCACCTGTTTCAGGGAAGCTAGCTACTCAGACTCCAGTGTTTGTCAAAGAGACTAATCCTTGGATAATTGTTGGTTCTAAGAAGAAAACTACTCCTCCTAAAGTGATTGAGCATGTTCTTCCTCGGAAAGGGGGAAGAATTGGAAAGAAGAAATGAAGATACTCACATGGAATATCCGGGGATTTAATGACCCGGATAAGAATAAGGCTGTACAGCAGCTGATCAATACACATAATATAGATATTATAGTTATACTAGAGCCTAGAGTTAGAAGTAATAAAGCTGATGAGCTGATTAATAGAAGGTTTTCTGGTTGGAAGTCTAAGGTTTCTAATAATGCTGCTGGGCTGGGGAAGTTGTGGCTCTTGTGGAAAGAAGACATTAAACTACAGGTTTTACATACAACAGATCAACTTATCCATGTTATGGTTGGATCTGGGGTTCCTTTCTTTTTCTCTGTCATTTATGCATCTAATGAGGAGGCTGATAGAAGATGTCTATATTCTGATTTGGTTAAGTATCAGGTGGACTCTCTTCCATGGGCAGTTTTAGGGGATTTCAATGCAATTGGTGATCCAAGTGAAGCTTCAAATCATCCTCAAGTTTCTAGCAGTATGATTGAATTCAAGAAGTGGCAGTATGATTGTGAGGTAGAAGAGCATAAGGCCTCAGGGCCATGGTTTACATGGATTAATAAGCAGCAGAGTAATCCAATTGCTAGAAGACTAGATCGAGTCTTTATAAATACTAAATGGCTTACTGATATGCCTTTGAGTACAGTGGATCTTCTTGATCCCTCAGTCTCAGATCATTGCCCCATTCTGCTTGATTCTGATTGTTCAGTGAAATCATTGCCAAAAATGTTCAAGTTTTTTAAATTTTGGATTCAGCACCCTCAGTTTATGGACTTGGTAAAACAGGCTTGGGATTCACAGGTAGCTGGGTCTCCTCTGGTTCGAGTGTGTCAGAAACTGAAGATCTTAAAGGGATTACTAAAGTGGCTTAATAGAGAGGTGTTTTCTGACTTATCTGCAAAGGTGAAGCTGAAAGCTTATGAGTTACTTCTGGCCCAGGCAGAAGCTCTTAGTCATCCATCAACTATTACATTTGAGGCTGAGAATAGGCTTTCTAAGGAAGCTAGGAAATTGAGAGAAGCTGAGGGAGATTCAAACACCCCTTATTTTTTCAGGTCAGTAAAGCTCAGACAGAAGAGGAATATGATTAGGTCTCTTATTGACGAGGCTGGTCATAGGTTTACTGATTTGGAGGGTATGACTAAGATAGCTGAAGATTTCTATGTCAAACTATTGGGTGAGGAGGATAAAGAGGTGGTTGCTCCTGAGGTAGATCAGATTGGAAGCTTGTTGTTAAAGAAACTCATTCCTGATCAGGGAGTTGCCTTATGCAAGCCAGTCACTGCAGAGGAGGTCAGGGTTACAATGTTTGGTTTTAATGGGGACAAAGCCCCAGGCCCTGATGGGTATCCAGCTTGTTTTTTCCAGGCTGCTTGGCACATTGTTGGAGCAGAGGTAACAAGTGCAATTTTATACTGTTTTCAAGTGTCACAAATCCCAGTAAGTGTGAACTCTACTCTTTTAGCCCTTATACCAAAAGTTCATAGCCCAGAAGAAATGAAGTTCTTTAGACCAATAGCTTGCTGCAACATTCTTTATAAGTGCATTGCAAAAATCCTTGCAACTAGACTAAGTGCTGTTATGCCTTGTGTCATTAGTGAATCCCAAACTGCTTTTGTTAAAGGTCGTCTAATTGGGGAAAATATTTTGTTGGCTCATGAACTAGTCCAGAAGTATGGTAGGAAAAACATCTCCTCAAGGTCCTTAGTTAAAGTTGATTTAATGAAAGCTTTTGACTCTGTCAATTGGGCTTTTCTGTTTAGAGTGCTTACAGCCATGGGGTTCCCTAATAAATTTCTTAATTGGTTGAGAATGTGTGTTACTACACAAAAGTTCAGTATTGGGTTTAATGCTGGGTCAGTAGGTTTCTTCCCAGCAAAGAAAGGATTGAGGCAGGGGGATCCTCTTTCCCCTTACCTCTTTGTTGTGGCCATGGAGGTCTTTTCATGCTTGATGCATACGGCTGCTGCTCAAAATGTTATGCCCTTCCACCCTATGTGAAAAAGATTGCAGATCGCCCATTTAATGTTTGCGGATGATCTCTTATTATTCTCTGATGGAACAAATTTTGGAATTCAGTGTATCCAAAAGGTTTTGACTGAGTTTAGATACATGTCTAGATTGAAATCAAATCCATCCAAATGTGAACTGTACTGTGGTGGTATAGAAGATCAATGGCAGGAGTTGATGTCACAACATTCAGGGTATAAGCTGGGGTCACTCCCAGTTAGATATTTAGGACTCCCTTTGCTCTCTGGTAAACTTTCCATCAAGGCTTGTAAGCCTCTAATAGACAAAGTTATGAGTAGAATCAGTAGTTGGAAGTCAAAAACACTCTCTTATGTTGGTAAACTTCAACTGGTGATTTCTGTGCTGTATAGCCTTGCTCATTTCTGGATGTCAATTTTTATTCTGCCTAAGGCTGTCATTAAGGCTATTGAGAAAATGTGTAGTGATTTCCTATGGGGAGTAGGAGAGGGGGCCAGGAGGAAAGCTGTGGTGGCTTGGTCTCGTATTACATACCCTAAAAATGAAGGGGGACTTGGACTTAAAGATATGTATACATGGAATATTGCTTGTGTGGTTAGACATATATGGGCTGTTCTACTTAGACAAGGGTCATTATGGGTTGCCTGGTTATGGGAATATCGAATTAAAGGAGGCAATTTCTGGACTCTTACTTCTAAAGCTGGGTCATGGCTATGGCAGAAAGTGTTGAAAATAAGGGATAAAATCAGAGGGTGGTTATCTGTTGCTGATGATGGGGTTTACTGGAAGGGTGATCTGATGAAAAATTTTTGCATAAGAAGGATCTGGGAGGAGATTCGACCAAAGAAGGATAGAGTTGATTGGGGGAAACTGGTATGGAAAGGAACTTGCATCCCAAAGAATCAGTTTCTGGTTTGGCTAGTTATACCTGACTGTATAACTACTAGCGAGAAGGCTCAAAAGTGGGGGGGGGGGGGGGGTCCTGGTGATTTTGGTTGTGTGTTCTGCTCATGTAACTTGGAAACTAGGTCACATCTTTTTGCTGCCTGGTCTATGTTTAAGCAGATGTATATGGCTCTGTTTTGCAAATTTGCATATCGAATTCCTGGTGATCAGTGGGAGGGTGAACTCCAGTGGGCTTTAAATGTTTTCAAAGGTTCCACTGTCCTAGCACAAACTGGTAAGTTGATTTGGCAGGCTCTAATTGCAACAATTTGGAGAGAAAGATGCTTGATAAAGTTTGCAGGGAAGAGAACTGACTTCCATGCTTTGATTCAAAGGGTTCAAGGTGATATAAGGGTGGTTGCAGATTCTGCAGCAGTGGGTTCTTTCTTTTGATTAGATGAGTTAGTACTTTTTCTGGTTTTGATAGTGTACAGGGACTGTTTGTTCCTTTTGCTCAGCTGGTAGAGATGTTGCCAGCATTGTACTTGGCTATTTGATGAAATGAAATCCCAACCGCTTCATAAAAAAAAAAAAAAAAGTAGGAGATGGAAACTATGCAAATAAGTGATTGCAAATTTACTATTTTGAAATCCAAAACTGAAGGAATTTAGATTATCTCATTTCGCAGTAAATTTAAAAGTCTTATGGGAAAGTGATACCTTAGCGTTGGATGTTGTGGTCAATAAACAACTAATGCCAAACGTGGTCTAAAAAATTCCCTTCACTATGAATTGCAAAAAAACATCCTTCCCAGACCCAATTTATTACCAGCAAATCATATTTGGTAATATGACTTGAAGGTCATACCAATAAACCACTATTTAGTTTGAGTCTAAATTAGACATATTGCATTGGCTAAAAAATTGAATATCTATTCAAATGTAATTTTTGCAATTTTGTTTTGCATAACAAACATATATGTGGAAACACCGATAATGAAGGTGTGAATTGGTTTAATGTGAATAGCTAGATGGTCAATATTTCTTTATAGGTATAATTATATTGACTCAAATAGATTCAAATTGTGGGTTCGACCCAAATAAATGTTTTTCTGCTCTAGCTCTCTATCTCATTCCATAATTAGTAAATTAAAAGCTTGTTTTTTGTTATGACCAGACGCCAAAGATATTGAAGCAGCTCTACCTCACAAGATTTACATTCGTATCAGGAATCATAATTTTTGGAGGGCTTATTGCTCCAACTGTAAGTTCATTCACAAAGACATTTCCCCTTGCGAATGTTACGAGTACTTTTAAATATGGTAGCATGATGAACCTAGAATACCTGTGCATGAGCCTTTTTGGGTTGCTCGAATTCTAAGGGGCGGTAGTTTTGCTGTGGCAGGTGGAATTAAAGCCAGGTTTAGGAGGAGCCTCTTACGAGGATTTCATTAGGAGCTTGCACTTGCCACTGCAGCTGAGGTAGTGTTTGATCTTGGAAAAAAAAGCCACCGCACACTACGGGAAAAGTGGTTTTATGCAACACTCGTCCTGCAACACTTAATAGAAGTGTTACATAAAATAGACTTAGACAACACTTTGATTATATGTCACATAATACATATTTTATGCAACACAAATTAGCAAAATCAAATTTTTTTTTTGCATATCTCTAGTAATATACAACACTTACCCAATAAAATTAGTTTTGTTGTCTATTCTAACATTTTAGGCAACACTTGATAAATAAATGTTACGTAATATAATGATTTATAGTTTTGATTATTAATTATAGTAAACAAAAATAACTAGAAATCTCGCTATAGTTTTCTTAATAAGCAACTCTCACAATGGTTAAAGAACAAAAGAAAAAAGAACATTCACTACTTAATACTACTTCACAATTATTGAAAAATTAAAATTTTCAACTCCCTTTTCAATATTCGTATTTTGTTTCAGGGACCTTTGTTAAAGTTAATAAAAGAGAAGTTCAATTAGTAAAAATAAAAAAAATGTGCACGAAGGTTATTGTAACACCCATGACCTAGTGTTTTATATTAAAAAATTTCCCCTCAAATAGTTGCAGCCATCAAAACTTAAATTAATAACCTAAACTGATGCTTTTCCTAGCCGATCGTTTTACCTATTGTCCTCTTCCTCCACTCCTTATAATTAACTTAACCTAAACCTAAATCTAATTGGTGCTCTAAAACACAACACCTAACAAAGGCCAAGTGTAACCAATGAAAGGGACTGCAGTATAGTGGCTCAAGTGATAAATATCGAATCCACGGGTCTCTAGAGTTACTATTACTCAGCTTCAGTTTATTATTTAGCAAATCAGATTAAGATGAAAGAACTAAAACTACTCTAGCAAACTACAGTTAAAGTTAATCTAATTACAGGTTGGGAACTCACTTAGGTATGATTCCCCCTAGCCACTAGCCAGATTAATGATTGATGATCTCTAACCTGTTTCACTTTCATTCACAATGCGGAGAATCCTTGACTAGACCTTGAGTCTCGACTAAAGGAACAAGGCCCTCTTGAGTCAATTGCCTAGAGGGACGTATCCTTCTCTAGAACAACTGATCAAGGCGTTCTGAACTAGACTCCCTCTATCGAAAGAGGTTCTCAATCGATACAAAGCAGTGAATCAACCCTTGACTAAAGCAATCGATCCACTACTATCAATCTATGGTGCTCTATTGACCTAATCAGGTATTCCCTCTCATAGGATCAAAGCAGAATCAATAATCTCGACTAAAGCAGAATTGAATCATGAAAAAATGCATAGATTGAATATGAACTCAAGATTATCAAGTCAGAGTACTCATACAATCATCCAATCAAACAAACATAGCTAGGGTTCCTCAAAACCTAAGTGAAGGGAAATTACTCCATAGAGAAGAGAGAGACTGTAGTAAGAATCTTCAGATGATCAGTCTTCAAGTCCGGGCTTGTTCCTCAAGCTTCCAAGGCGAAGAAATCCTCCTTCTCTACTCCAAGAATGCCCTCAAATCACCCTCTCTCTCTTTGGTTCGTCCCTTGGGTGTTTGGGATCCAAAAACCCAGCTCTCCTCTTCTCCTTTGGCTGAAAATCGGGTTTTAAGCAGAAAATCCCGACTCACACGGGCAGGGTGGCACGGCCGTGTGGCTTACCCAGTTGCCCGTGTGAGTCAAAACGCTGCGTTCCAATTAGTTCGAATTCCAGGCTCTTTGCACGGCCAGAGTGGCACGGCCGTGTGAACTTCCTTTTTGCCCGTGTTTGCTCACGCAGAATTCCACACGGCCAGACTGGCCTCTTGCACGGCCGTGTGGATGTCCTGCTCTGCCCGTGTTTGCTCTCGGCGAAACTCGCACGGCCAGACTACTCCTTCACACGGCGTGTGATCATCAGGGCAGCCCGTGTGACCTCCTTTGTGACTTGTCTCGCGCCCGATCTTCGCCCAATCGACTCCGAACTCGCTCCTAAACCTTCATTCACTTGCCAGGACCTGAAATATCACAAACAAGCACAACCTAGCGTGAAATCGGTCTAAAACACGAGAAACCACATCTCCAACGGTGTAAGAACAGGGGTGAAAACATGTGTAACTAACGGTCTATCACTAATCGTCGAGAAAATCCTTTTCGTAGCAAGAGCAGCCTCGCTAACCCTCGCATCTCGTCCCTCTCTCGATCGTTAATCCATCCACGACTAACTATTCTTTTCCTTCTCATCATTCCATCCTTCCAACAAAACCAAACTTATCGCTAGAGGAAGACAGGAAGAGCTTTGACGAGGGAGCGGTAGCCGACGCGAGCTGGAGTTAGTGGAAGCGATGGAGTCCTAGAAATAAACGCCCGTGAGTGGATAGGTACCACTACAAACAACAATGGACAAAGGGAGCAACCAGGGAGTTGTGGCCGACCTTAAAGGTAATTATGTACTGCGGCTACTGTGAAATTTTGGTTCAAGAATTTTGATTTAAGCATAATCGTCTAATAATGCGTGAGTTGTTTGGGAAGAAACCTGGAGAATCAAATCAATTATGAAGGGGGAATTGAGGGTTCATCCTGAAGTTTTTCGTCCCCTCCTTATGACAACACAAGACACTCAGTTTGCATAGCTGTAGTCCTAACACAATTGCGAGGATTAGCGTTACATAGGGGCTCACAGCAGAACCTATTGATAAATAGAGTAAGCCTTTTGCCTTCGTACTATAATCTCCACAACCTTTTTTCAATTGGATTTGGATTATTTGGGTCCTTCAGTTTAATCAAGTGAAAGTATAACTGTTTTTTCAATAGGCTGGACAACTTGTGTTGTTCAAAATTGTGACGAAACATATTAGATCATATGTCAATATATATGTGGATCACATCTCTTATATGCTGATGTTAAGATAAAATTGGCTTCTTGTGAAACAAAACTGTGCAGTAGAGCATCATGTTGTTTCTTACTAGTGAAAGAAAGAACGTTGTGGCTATACGTGAACTCTTCATAGCTAAGTCCCGGTGGAAGATGCTTTTTCGGGTTTTAGTACTTCATGAGAAAGTCAAAGTTTGAGGATTAGTAATGATAGGAAAGTTTTTGCAGTGGGCAATTCATTGATTCCTATTATTGCTTTCATTCTTTCTGTTTGCATATGTATAACTTTTCTCAATCTCATAGTGTAATAGTGTAGCAAGAATCACAGTTACTTATTCAGACATATAGCTTTTATACTTGTTTTAGGAAGTCTTTTGCAGATAGATCGCCAGATTTTTGTATATTTGAATGGGAGGATCATATGTATTCTTTATTTATATTTATGTACAAAACTTGTAAGAAGATGTGCGTTAATGATGAACCAGATCGCCACTAATGATTACAATTTTTTTATAGTGTACAATTGTTATAAATATTGCATGATACACAAAAACCTTCATCACAAAAAATCGATTTTGTTACAAAGGCATCATAACCAAAATTATCTCCTTGTCACAAAAACATGCTATTGTGATAACAATATCGTCACAAAAACCTGCTTTTGTGATGACAATACAATATAGAAAGACACATTAGTGACAACTTAAATTGGTGATAATACGACCCTAAACGCGAGGATCGTGGTGAATACACGCAACTCGTCCACTCGAAGGATTGAACTTGATTTTCGATCTAGAACAGAGAAACAGGGGCGGAAGTTGTTGACGTGGCAACGGAACTCTCGTGCAATCTATCACGCGGAAGAAGGCTCGAAGAGTATAGGTCGATGCTGGCCACGACCGATGGGGATCAATCGATCGATACAAGCTCTTGAACTCTCGGATTACTCCCAAGCAATTCAACTAATTCACAAGCGCAAAGCTTAATGAACGAAATCCCAAACTGGAATTCTATATCTCCAAAAACTGTCTTACAATCACTTGAAAACGAACTTAAATAGACCCTTCTATGCGTACAAACCAAAGAGAAATCCTAATTATTCTAGAACACGAAAACAAACAGCCAAAACCCAAAAGGACACATAATCCTAGTCCGAAACGGATTCAGATTTGTTGAGAAGCAGTCTTCCAAAACGAGGCTTCCTTCGATCTTCTGCTTGCTTGATCGAGGCCTTCTAGAGACGTAGGTGTTCATCCAATTCCTTCGGCCTGTAGCAGAACACGCCCACTTTCATGTGGTACCAGCCTTGCAACGCGTTTCCCTTCTTTCGGCCGGGAGCAAGCCTTCAAAGTGGCCTTCTCGAACTGTCTTCCAGACTTGGACAATTTTGGACAGTTTTCCCAATTCAGCATATCATCTTCGTGGCTCTTAAAAACTCCCTTGCCGCCTTGTATTGGTTCAGCCAAGCCTTCCACCTTGTCAAGCAACTCAGGATCTTTAACCCCATATCCTCTAGTTGCATTTTCATCGACGTATTGAATAGAATCGTGCCTGCAAAGTGAGCACCCTGCACACAAACAAATACTTAGCCAAAAATGGGGATTGTTATCGTTAGATGACCTGGCTCCTTTAACACCCAATTGAGTCTTGTAGGGTAGGTAATCTTGGATCATATCAGGCCCTCCCTCTTGAAAAAGTGTTGCCCTCAACACTTTGCCCTTTCGTTTATCAAATCGTGCACAGAATTGATCCCAGACTGGGTCACAATATGGCTGTCCAAACTGGAATTTTTGCAGAATGAGGTGAGTGTTCTTCTTGATGCGATTTAGGGCTTTTGAATCCAGGCATACCCAGCCAAATTCATGTACTCCAGTAGATTCTTCAGGCCTCGAATTGCACTTCTGGGCCTGTTCTTCATCTCGACTCCTCGCCGAATCAACTACACGCTGTTTCCCGCCACCGCCGTCTTTTTAATTTCCAGGAACCAGAACTCTTGATCTTGAAATGGGCGTTTCCGTTCTAAGGATCTTCGGGTGGAATTGGCGATTTTTACAGCTTCGGATGACCGTCCCCGAAGACCCTGCGATGGTCCTAGAGGTCGAATCGTGCCCAGATGTCCCAACCCATTTGGTCGTGTTTTGGTCGAGTTCAAGCACTTGCAGGGGCGATGTAGTTCGAATTGGCTGCGGAAAATGGAACGCAATCGATGCATTCCTATCATCGTGAGAGTTATGCTGGGCCTCGGGGAATGCGTTGACAGCGTCAGCTGGGTTCGACATGCTCCCCGGTAGCCCGACCCATTGTCCCTCTCTCATGCTCTGTTCCGCCGTTTCCGACGAACAGGGTATTGTCGCTGCAGCTAGCCAAGGACAAGGAAACCTCCTAAGTGCTGTGAGCATAAACTTCTGGACAACAAAATTGCTACCCTTGGAGGCTTCAGTGGTTTCCTCTCTCCCCTTCCTCCGATTTGTGGCCATTTGCTGCTGATCTCCTCGCACCTCCGCCGGAGTTAGCGGTTTGAGCACAAACTGTCGTCCCTCGTGCTTCAACTTATAGCAATTAGAACCTCCGAAATGCCACACTTGTCGATCAAATTGCCAAGGACGCCCTAGCAGCATATGTGCTGCCTGCATTGGAGCCACATCGAACAAAAGCTCATCTCTGTAACGACCAATTTCGAAAGGAATCTTGGCCTGCTTGGTTACCTTAATAGCTCCATAATCGTTAAGCCAGTGTAGGTTGTACGGGGCTGGGTGCTTAGTTGTACTTAAACCAAGTTTCTTTACAACCTCGCTACTGACGACATTTGTACAACTCCCACCATCTATAATTAGAGACAGTAACTCACCATTGACAACACACCTGGAGTGAAAGAGGTTGTCCCTCTGTTCAGCCACTGCGTGAGCTTCGACTGTGAGGGCTCACCTGTTAACCCCTAAGAGCTTGCCTGCGGGAGTCTCCACTTCGATTTCTTCATCAATCTCTTCCTCGGACGACCCTCCTTTGTGTTGTGTTTGCTCCTCATCGTCACTGACGTATTCCCCATCATGCAAGGTTAGAGTTTTCAGGTTTGGGCATTGGTTAGCTTTGTTCCCCCTGCCGTGGCACTTAAAGCACTGTATTCCCCCACTAGATCCTCCACCCTTCTCCTGAGAAGCGGGGTTCATTGATTTGGGAGGGGATCTTACCAATTCAAACTTGGGTTGAGAACTACTAGCCTCGACAGTAGGCTCTGTGTACAGTCTAGAACTCGTAAACCTCCTTCCTGAACTAGCCTTTTGCTGCTTCTCGATTTTAATCGAAAGATGCAATACTTCCTCCAATTCAACGAACGATCTGAGTTCCACTTCATGCTTGATGTCACGATTTAATCCATGTAGAAACCGACGATAGTTGCCTCCCTATCTTCTCGAACATCAGCTCTCATCATAAGCAGTTCCAACTCGCGAAAGTATTCCTCGACGCTCCTAGTTCCCTGCCGAATATTTTGTAATGACTCGTGGAGTTCGCGTAGATAGTATCCCGGGACAAATCTTTCGCGCATCAACCCACGTAATTCTTCCCAGGTAGTCACTGGTGCTTGGACGTTACGTCGTCGTCGAGTTTGCAGCTGTTCCCACCATTGTGCTGCGTAATCGGCGAATTCATACGTAGCCAGTGCTAACTTTTGTTGCTCCGTGAACTGTCCACACTGGAAGAACAAGAGGATTTTTCGTTCCCAGTCGAGGTAGGCAGTGGGATTGATCATCCCCTGAAACTGTGGCACGACAAGCTTGATTCCCGGAGGAAGAACGTGCTCTGCTTCCGGCGGCCGGTTCCGATGCTCGCGGCGTTCTCGATGGGGTCGCTCATCCTGGGGCTCTGCCAACACCAATCTTCGTTCTAATTCTTCGATCCGACCCATCAATGCAGGGTTGTCAGCTGGATTACCCTGGTCGGGAACTGCCCCTGCTCTGATGATATTTTCCGGAAGAGCAATCGCGTGGAGTCTTTGATCAATCTCGCGATTGAATGCCCCCAATTGAGCCTGAAGTCGCTCGTCAATTTGGGTCAGCAATGCCTCCATGTCAAACGTCTGGCCTGCCATAGTCAATTCTTCACTCTCAACTGCGGATTCAGGCTTCTTTTGGCGTAGAACAGCAGGGTCGCTGGCAACGGGACCCTTCAATCTCGTCCAGCACGTAAATCCGTCAACATCGTCCTTCGTCTTGGCCACTGTGTGTGTGAACCGGGCTCTGATACCACTTAATACGACCCTAAACGCGAGGATTGTGGTGAATACACGCAACTCGTCCACTCGAAGGATTGAACTTGATTTTCGATCTAGAACAGAGAAACAGGGGCGGAAGTTGTTGACGTGGCAACGGAACTCTCGTGCAATCTATCACGCGGAAGAAGGCTCGAAGAGTATAGGTCGATGCTGGCCACGACCGATGGGGATCAATCGATCGATACAAGCTCTTGAACTCTCGGATTACTCCCAAGCAATTCAACTAATTCACAAGCGCAAAGCTTAATGAACGAAATCCCAAACTGGAATTCTATATCTCCAAAAACTGTCTTACAATCACTTGAAAACAAACTTAAATAGACCCTTCTATGCGTACAAACCAAAGAGAAATCCTAATTATTCTAGAACACGAAAACAAACAGCCAAAACCCAAAAGGACACATAATCCTAGTCCGAAACGGATTCAGATTTGTTGAGAAGCAGTCTTCTAAAACGAGGCTTCCTTCGATCTTCTGCTTGCTTGATCGAGGCCTTCTAGAGACGTAGGTGTTCATCCAATTCCTTCGGCCTGTAGCAGAACACGCCCACTTTCATGTGGTACCAGCCTTGCAACGCGTTTCCCTTCTTTCGGCCGGGAGCAAGCCTTCAAAGTGGCCTTCTCGAACTGTCTTCCAGACTTGGACAATTTTGGACAGTTTTCCCAATTCAGCATATCATCTTTGTGGCTCTTAAAAACTCCCTTGCCGCCTTGTATTGGTTCAGCCAAGCCTTCCACCTTGTCAAGCAACTCAGGATCTTTAACCCCATATCCTCTAGTTGCATTTTCATCGACGTATTGAATAGAATCGTGCCTGCAAAGTGAGCACCTTGCACACAAACAAATACTTAGCCAAAAATGGGGATTGTTATCGTTAGATGACCTGGCTCCTTTAACACCCAATTGAGTCTTGTAGGTTAGGTAATCTTGGATCATATCAGGTGAGAATTGAAATATATTTGGTGTCGATACAAACTTGTCACAAATGTGTAGCAGTTGTTACTAGGGAAAGTTGTCACAATTGGTTAATCTTATATTACCACAACTTGTCACGAATAAAATATAAACATGTTGCTTATACTTGTTAGAATGTGTTGCATAATCTTTTGAGGTGTTGCCTAAAATAGTGTTGCCTAAATGGTATACATATGCAACACATAATTTTAATGTTGCCAAAAACTAAAAAAGTGTTACTTATTACTTTATACAACACCACCTATAGGGGTCACTACAAAAAGTGTTGCATATCAGTTATGCAACACTTTTGCCACTTTTTTGCAACACATTTCATGTGTTGGGTAAAGCTTATTTTCCTGTAGTGGCAGTATCGTTGAACTGAAATTGTAGTCGTTTAACTAACTTTGATTTCCGGGTATGCAGCCAAGTCGATCTGATTGTAGCATCCTTTTCAGGTGGCGCAGTTGGTGTCATGTCTGCTTTGATGTTGATTGAAGCTAACAACGTAGAGCAGCAAGAGAAGAAAAGATGTAGAAACTGCAATGGAACTGGTGTGTATAATAACATCTGTGTCTGAGATTTTAATCCTAAATACAGCTGATACTTCCAAATTAAGATTTGTGATGTTCCTTTTAACCCTTTCACTCCATGGTTGTTGGCCGAAATTAGGATACTTGGCATGTGCTCGTTGCGCTGCTAGTGGTGTGTGCTTGAGCGTCGACCCGATTTCGTTATCCAGTGTTTCAGATAAGCCATTGCGGGTGCCGTCAGCTAAAAGGTGTCCCGATTGCTCTAGTGCAGGAGAGGTAAGAAGTGTAACGATTTGGGATGTATGATTGGGGAAACGAGCCAGCTAACTCGGAGTCCTTTGTTCATCTTTTATAGCTGGACGTTGTAATTAAACCAAGTACAACAGTTGTCACTACATCATTTGTCTAAATTAAACTAAACATCAACTTTTAATGGCTAACTAACAATCTACAAAAATATATAAGGCAATGTCAATAAACAATCATTGTCACATCAGCCGGTGCTGTTTAAACCGCATAACTCGGGGGATAAATTAGTCTTCTCCTCCCTGCCTTCTCGCCTAAAACCGTCCGTAACTGTTACTTCTTTTATTTTCTTTACATTTTACAATCCTACGTCGTTCCCCCCCCCCCCCTCATTTCTACAAGGCCATCAGCCCACGACCACTAATCCATTTCTTATGCTAAAACAACTCATTATTTTTAGGAAATCCAATCTTTTGAACCCACCAGGACACTAAAATTATTATATCCTTTTCAAATTTTTTTTTGGCATGCTTCCTCTTTTTCATTTACTTTGCTCTAATATTTCAAAGAATCGCTCTGATCCTAATAAAAAAAATCAATGTTAAAAATTCCCTAATCTTTTCTTTGAGATAAAAATATTATCGTATATTATTCAACTGAGACTTTTTTTCCTTAAAAGAACTGATCCTTCATTGGTACTAAGAATGAGTAAGGCTCAAACACAAAATATTTCCTGTAAGATCTATAAAATCATATTTGATTATTATATTTTGAGAAGGGGAGATCAAATGGTTCATATCACAAAGCGGTAAGAATGGAAATAAGTGATTTTGGGGCGGCAAGCACATATTTTTAGAGGTGCTGTTAGATAACTTTTAAAATCTTCTACTAAAATTCAAAGGATCATATTTCATTCGTTTTACATCGAATTTCAAAAAATATTTGCATAGAAAGATCATAGTTATGCTCTACAAGATGATATTGGGTTTGACATTTTTGGACAACTTTTTCATGTCATCTTACCACTAGTGTGTCATGATATTATCATTATGTGACAATGGTATGAGGGTGATGTCAATCTTACCATAGTGGTAACATTATGATATGCCAATGGTGAGATGTTGATATGAATTATTATCATACTAACATCATACCACTTCATATTATGATATTATCATAATGCCAGTCTCACGATACTGGTAAATTATGATATGACAGTGATAAAACTACTAGAAAATCCATCCCATAGACTTGTGTGTACCCTTTAGCCACTTATCTGGCTTTGATCCATCAAAATTAGGCTTAATCTTATAAACATATGTGTTCCCTATTCCTTAGCTCCAGGTGGCAAGGGACTATATCCCATGTCTAGTTTTCCTCCAATGCATGCATTGATGTCTTCATAGCTCTATTCCAAACATCAGATTGTACTGCCTCATTGTAAGATTTAGGTTCTGTTGGGTTTATGACATTGAGTGCATAGCATCTATCCTCTTTGTTCAAAGCATTGACATTAAAACAAATTGGATACCTGGTACAAGCATTTGCATTCCCAAAAGCCCCAAAATTGAGAGTGGAGTCTAGTTGATAATCATTGTATTGGAGGTCTTCCTGTCACTAATATACTGGCATCATCCAGGTTGAAATAAGTTTGGGGATAGAGTTACTGCTCATCAGAGTCAAAGTATGTATAGTGGTCACTGATTGTGGAATTTGGAACGAGTGGTGTCACCTCTTGCTTAGTGTCCCCCTCCCCTTCATCTATGGATGAATGTGGGTGAAGAGCAGGTGCAGAAGAATGAGATGGAACAAGAGAAAAAAGAATGTTGAGAGGAGGTGCTGGTATTGGGGTAGAGACATGACGACATGGAGGAGAAGTAGAAAGAATGGGGGAGTCAGATTGATCAGGGATCTTGAAGGAAGATTAGTCTCATAGGAAGACACATCCCTGGATATGAAAACCTTCTTATAATGAATATCGAACACTTTATACCCTTTAACTCCATCCAGGTATCCCCAAGAACACACATTGTCTGGCTCGTGCAGCAAATTTTGCTTTGCCATGAGCTAAGGTGTTGGCATACAGCCAAAAGCCTTATAAGTGTCCCAGATTAGGCACTTGTTTATACAAAATATCAAAGGGTGTTTGATAGACCCTGGAATCTAGGGTGCGTGGAATGCAGTGAAATTGGGCACTAGGTTAGATCAATTGGGGATTGATCAAGGGAATTAGAAGTTGGGAGAATGAGTTGGTAGAGAGAGAGAGAGAGAGAGAGAGAGAGAGAGGGAGAGATTCGGCCGATACTTATACTAATCGTAAACTTGACTTACACCGATACTTATACTAATCGATAATTATTCCCTTTACTACCCGAAATAATAACCAAATCATAATACTCCCTCCCCAACAATAAATCAACCATAATAATCTGAATTGTAACCCAACAATTACTATGAGTTCTTAATAATTATAAAATGTTTCCATCATCCCCTTCCCCTTGGAGGCGCAACCTTGCCCTCAAGGTTGCTTCTTCTCCTCGCAATCCTCCTTCATTTCCACGTCGTCTTCCTTGTCCCCTTCATCTTCCCAATGCCCCAGGAACATCATCAAATCTGGTTTCGCTCATTGTTGCCCAAAAACAAACTTCTCATTGCAGTTGAAGCATTTCCCTTCCTTCCTTTTCTGCTCAATCTCGACAGAGGTTAAGCGCACAAACCTCTTTGGAAACGCACGTATCCCGGCGCGATTGACTCCTAGTCCCACTGATCTCGTAAATCTCGTGCTCGCACCCGTACCTGCACCTGCGCCCGTGCTCCCTCCGCCACAACCTGTCGCCCCGACTGCTTCGCTGTTCCCACTAGACTTCGGAAATCTCCGCACCACACTCCTCAAACTTGCAATCTCCTCTTCCATGAGGCCTGCCAGACGAAAAGAAGATCTCAACGAGTCAAGCTCAAAAACCCCTTACCGTAGCAGCAATCTTCGGCTTTAACCCTGCCATGCACAGTCCGACCAAAGTTTCTTCTGGCACGCACTTGCACTGATTCCCTAGCTTAAGAAACCTGCTCGATACTCCGCAACTGTTCCTGTTTGCCTTAACTTTGTCAGTTGCTTTGGCACCCAGCCATCCAACTTGCCAAACTGATATCTAACCTCTTCCTGAAATCGAGGCCAGGAAATGGGTGTCCTCATCTTCGCGAACGTCCTCTCTAGCCACTCCCACCATTGTAGTGCATCGCCTTCTACATAGAAGGACGCTAGATAGGCCTTCCTCTCCTCGCGCACGTCATGATTCTTGAACCACGTGTCTGTTGCATACAACCACAACCCAGCATCATCCTGGCCATTGAATTTTGGAAATTCGATGGTTGGAGGTTTAGCTCGAAACACCAAATCACCATCACGCTCATAGTTCGCTCCATATCCTCCATACCTGCCAATACCTGGCGTGGCAGCCCGGTGATGCCCTTCCTGGCTTCTCTCCCTTTCTCCGCTTCCTTGCCCAAACTCCAGCTATCTGTCGTTGTTCCTATCCTCCATTCGACCCGTCCCATAGGAGGCATAACCTCCTCCCCTTCCTTCTCCCACCCGACCTAACTGGTCCGATTGCTCCTCCCTGGTTCGGCGATCCGCCCACGTGCTCGACCTCCCTGGTCCCATCAAGCTTCCCTCTTCATTATCCTCGAACCGCATATCCAGTTGCTCGAACATCACATTCTAGGTGATGTTGTGGTATCCCGCCATTTTTGACTTGCACTTTCGCCCCGCAATTTCCTGCTCCGATGGAATGGGTAAGAGACTGTTGCCTTGCCCTAGCTTCCGCGAAGTTCGAGCCCCCCATGCCCCCATTCCATCGGCCATCGATGCGCGGACGGCAGCGGCCGCCTCGTCTGCCCCTATCGTCTCTTGCTCCTCCACGGGTGGAGCCTCCTCGGCCTCGCCCTCCTTCGGCGCAGTCTCGCTCATCCGACCCATCTCACTTCTTGCATCCATGCTGGTCTCCTGCAACAGACCCTCGGATAGTTGAACCAGCACCTTCAATAGTAGCAGCACCATCTTATCGGCGTTTGCATTAGCTTTTTCAGCAACTAATTTTGCATTTTCTGCAACCTGATAGATTGAACGGTTAACCTCCTTCAACCCTTCTTCTAGGTTTCCTTGCATCCTGGAAACCTCAAACATCTTGTTGCAAACATCAGCCCAGTCCGGCTCCTCGACGCAGTCTCCGTTGCGCAGCTGCTGCATGGGCGCCTTCTCTTTGCCCTGCGCCACCTTGGATGCCCTCACCACCATGACCGACGTCATCGCCGCCTTGTCTCCTGGCATGTGGTAGTCATGGTCAAGTGATCTTCGCACCCAACTAGACTCTGATACCATTTGATAGACCCCCGAATCTAGGGTGCGTGGAATGCGATGAAATTGTGAACTAGGTTAGATCAATTGGGGATTGATCAAGGGAATTAGAAGTTGGGAGATTGAGTTGGTAGAGAGAGAGAGAGTAGAATCCTATTAAATCAACCATAATAATCCTAATGGTAACCTGACAATTACTATGAGTTCTTAGTAATTATAAAATGTTTCCATAAGTGTTCTGTTGGCAAAAATGGGGAATGAGAATCATGTTAATGAAGTATACTGCATGCAAAATAAGGTCACTCCAATCTTGTAATGTTATCCCTGAATGAAACTTCAAACATCTAGCGACATTCAAGATGTGCTAATGTTTCCTCTAGAGTCTCAACACATGATACTTGGTGTTCTATACCTTCAGCGGCAAAGTAATCACATATAGCAAACTCCTTACCCTGATCAGTTATGATCACCTTTACACTGGTATTGAATTGATTTTTCACAAGATTACAGAAACCTTGTATCAACCCCCTTGTTATACTTTTATGTCTCATCAAATACACCCACACACTTCTAGAACAATCAACCACAATGGTAAGGAAATAGTAATAAGCATCATAAGAAATAGTGGATAAAGGTCCCCAAATATCCATATGCATCAAGTGAAAAATGTTAGGTGCAACACTGGTGCTAACAGGGAAAGGTAGTTTTCTTTGTTTGGACAGGTGACAAACATCACAGTGAAGTGTTTTGGTATTAGTAATAGAAGGGATTAAATTGTTGAGTAAAGACAACCTATCATGACTAGGGTGTCCTAGCCTCCAATGCCAAAGGTTCACGTGTTGTGGATTGAAATTGAAAATGATGGTTGCTTGATGTTGGTAACTAGTGTGGGGAGTCTTGACTAGTCATGAGGGTAAAGCTAGTTATAGAGACCTCTAGTTGTGTGGGCTAAACCAATCCTCTTCTTGCTTAATAGGTCCTGGATTTGACATTTATCAGAATGAAAGTGTAAGGGAAAATGGTTGTCATGTGTGAGTTTGATGACTGAAATGCGGTTAAATGAAAATTTTGGTACTAAAAGAAAATCATGTAATGTCAGACCGCATGACAACAGAACTGTGCCTACAAAAGTAACTGTGACTTTGTTGCTGTTTGGAAGGGAAACAAAGGTATCTTTTAGTGGCCTATAATGACTAAACAGGTTGAGATTATAAGCAATAAAGTCTGAGGCACCTATGTTAACTATCCATAATCTATAATCATTGGTTTCATAGTTTTGAGAAGAGGACAAGACATGTTTTCCTGAAAAGTTTGAAAAGAAAGAGGAAACTTGGGATGATGAGTAAGTTTGGTGGTTAATGGGTGGTGAAGGGTTGTTGTTAGCACCAACTTGCAATAAGTACCTGATTCTATTCATTTCATCTGGTGTAAATGTATGTGGTACCTGGTTTTTACCTTCATTAACAACATTGCCCTCTGATAGACATTCACTGCTACTTCCCTCCAAAATGGATCCAGCAAAGCTTGGTGCACTGAAGTTTGAACTGGAACTATAATTATAACCTCCATTACCACCATCATCTTTTGCATCTCTTGTTTCCTCTTTAACTTCCATCACTCATCAATAGTATGATTGTTCATCTTGAAAAACCTACAAAACTTCATGTTCCTTCCTTCTACATAATCTCTTTGATTGTTACCACCAACTGCTAAGGCTAGAGTCTGAGCTTTCTTACCTCCCATCATTGCATCAGCTTTTAATTTATGTTCATGCTTAAGCAAATCATTCACAACTGCTGATATTGTTGGCAAGAGCTTTTGCATCAGGAGTTGTATCTTAATTACCTCATACTCAGGATTGATTCCTTTCAGGAATCGAATTAAATAGTTTGTCTCTTGCTTCTACATAAAGGCAGCTACAGCTGCACAAGGAATAGGATTTCCAAGTGCACAATTACAAGGTGTAACAGGTGAGAACTCGATGTATTCATACCAAAGACCCTTTATAGTTGTGTAGTACTGATTGATGGTCCGGGAACCCTGCTTACACACCTGAATCTCATCCTCTAGGTTTGCAATTTTAGGGCATTAGGTTGGCCAAAACGCCTTTTCAATTCATCACACAGTGTCTTAGAGTTGTTGTGATTCAAGAAAGATCTCCTAATGGAGTTTTGAATCCAACAAAGTACAACTGTGTTACAGGCATCCCATAACCCAAATAGATATGCATCCCTAGGTGGTACTGGAATTGACTCATCAACGAACCCAATCTTATTCTTCATTTTCAACACAACCAGTATAGATCTACTCCACATCACATAGTTGGTACCATCGAAAAGCTCGGCAACAAGGGATTGAGACATGTTTTTATTTGGGTCAAGGTAATAATGATTACCAAAAACAATAGTCTCTCGGTGCATCTGATTCTGATCAAAGGTACCAAATCGGAAAGTTGCTGCTGTTGTGGTTCCACTGCCACTGCTCCCATTGTTTGGCATCTTGGGAGGTCGTCTGTCCTCCTAACATCTTGTCGTCTGCAGTTGAAGAAACCTAGAGCTTACGCTGCTCTGGTACCATAACAATTTTGAATGTATGATTGGGGAAACGAGTTCAGCTAACTCTTCAGTCCTTTATTCTGCTTTATAGTTGGACGTTGTAATTAAACCAAGTACGACAGGTGTCACTACATCATTTGTCCAAATTAAACTAAACTATAACATTTAACGGCTAACTAACAATAAAGAATATGTTGTCGTTTTGCCTCCACGACGCCGTTCCTCCTTTTCTTCTACGACGTCGTTTTCTTCTTTCCTTCTTCTCTTCTTCTGAGTCCTCCTGTGATAAGGATTACAAATCCTCCTTCTGCTGCATCACTTCATATCACTGCAGCATCACATTTCATGATGTTATTTCAGGTGATGTGCCCCAAATGTCTCTGGACTGGAATGGTGATGGCAAGGGAACACGATCCACGAATTGATCCATTCGACTGAGCTCACCATCTTAGGACCCCCTGCTTTCGAAATGCAACTATCTTGTTGGTTTATTTGTGTCTTTATTCAGGGAATCAAAGTTGCCCTTCTCCCGTCCATGTTTACCCTCAGTAGCAAGTTACAGAGGGTGGAGAAGTTGAGTCAGTTGAGGAAGGATAGTTAACAGAATGTCAAAAGGTACAGTGGATGGTTTTGATCAGAGAGGGGCGAGTGGTACTGAAGAAAAATAGAATGAGAAAACATTTGGCGTGAATTATATATTTGTAACTGATGTCATTAATCCATATTATACTTGATACTGGCTGCCTAATTAAAGCTTGTTTAATATCAATGTAGTATCTGTAATTTACACGTACTACATCTTAATTATTATGGTCTCACCTCTGGAATATTAAGTCCCTGCTTAGTATGATTTTCACGTTGTGTTTTTATTGTGGCTTGATAGCAGAGAAAGAATGAAAGCAACAACAAATATTGATTTCAAAAACATGTTTAGTTCGTGATTCTAGGAAATCTTGAAAAACTGAAAACTAAAAAAATAAAATGATTTAGCTAGACTGAATTTAACGACAACTGAGTACTAATGTTAGCATGAATGTAGTGAATTTTTTCATCAACGTGATCTTTGAAAATCAGAAGCTGAAAGAATTTTTAGGGGTTTTGACTGTTGAAAGGGAAAATCTGAAAGAGGAAGACGAGATAAAGAAAATGAAGTGCAAAAGACACTTTTTTCTTCTTATTTCAGCTAGTTACTTTGTCTCATACTTTGCAATATTAATGGATTCTTGTTAGGGATGGCAAATGAATTCGAGCTAATAGGTATTCAATCTGATCCAATTCAATTAAAATGGGTGAAATCCAGTGTTGACGCATTTTGGATCGTGTGCAGGTTTTACCCACTTTTGAAATTGGCGGGTTGGGATTATAACTTAGCGTTGACGGGTTGTAGGAAAACAACAAACAAAAGCACCACGCACATAAAAAAAATACAAAGATTAGGGTGGGAGGTTCGCTAAATTTACTACAATGGGGAGTAGGAGAGGGATGATTTTCGGGTTCTGACTCTTTGACACAATTGAGACTTTCGGATGAAGGGCTATTTGCAATAGGTGGGAATTGGGATGTTTGAAATTGCGATTTTGGTTGGTCTTATATCTTGATACCTTTTTCTTCATCCAAAACCCAGACGATGTGTTATACTAGTAGGCGGTTCTCAATTTTCATTTGGGTAAACCATTAAGCAAAATAAGCTAACCGAAATTGAAACATGAAAATTTATCAGTAGCAGTTAACCACTAACCACCGTGATCGATTAAAATCGATAACCGAATAACTATTTATTAGCCCTAATCATATGTTGCAATAGATAGTTCGATAGACCTTTATAAAAACCAAAATCCAATTTAAGAAGGGTTGATTCCACTAGGAAGTCAAAACTATACTAAAAGGGTCATTTGTATACTAAATTATTCAATATGACAAATCTGACACAAACTATATGCATTTCGTGACATTTGTGTCATAAGGCTCTTCGGGTCGACCTAGGACATGTAGTGCCACCATGCCTCGAAGAGTGGCTTGCCCGGCAACCATGAGATTCACAATCACCGGTTGTGTGAGGAGCATGCTATTCAATATGAAAATTTTGGCACAAACCACATAGATGCCGACTAGATTTTCTGTTGAATACTAACAGTCAACACCGGTTAACATTAACGGAAAAATAGTGTGTGCCTGATTTACCATATTGAATAGTTTATAACACAAATGACATTTTTTGAATAGTTTAACCTTTCTAGTGGAATTAGCCCTTATAAGAAACACATAAATAATTCAAAACGTACAACGACGATGTTATTGAATGAAAACATAGCTAAACACATTTTTACAACCTCTATTCTCACCCGTAAAATCAGGAAAAATAAAATAAACAAAAATGTTGCTTATGTTAGACGATATGGCCTTATTTGATCCATGTATGTAAGGCTGGCTATTTGGTCCCGACTTTTTGGTTTTACCCAAAATCGGACCATATAGCCTAGATCGAGACCGGACCGGGACCGGATAGCAAACAATCTAATCCCATCTTCGAGCTTATATTTTAGGTAAAAAGTCATTCGGGACCAGACCAAAACCTCATAAAGACCGGATAAGAGAGCCCAACACCCAAAATTTAACCAACTCCTCACCCTTTCAGGCCTCATGCCACTCAAATCCCCACAAGCTCAATCTAAAATCAATCGAATTGGGACTGGACTGGTTCAAGACCAGACCGGATCAATACCAGAATGTATCCAATTCAATCTTAGATCCTTATACTCTCTAAAAGACTAGATCGGAACCGAATCAATTCAGACCAATTTAACCAGATCAAACCATATAACCACCCCTACATGTATGTATATGCACATAAGTTGGCCCTTAGTTCCCAAGACCACAAGGATAGCTAGGCCCAACGTAGACAGCAGCTAGGCTAGCTTAGGGTCGTGGGATCTTCTTCTTCATTCCAAGAGTTGATTTAAGCAATTGATGTATGTCAAGTGTAATTATAAAAAAAAAGGAGAGAATAATATCAGTACCCTGGAGAGTGTTCAATCACTCTCTTGGATTAGTCCTTATCATCAGAAATACCACGTAAAACCTCTGTGTTCTTGCGTCCATTCAGTTTAGTTTATATTATATATATTTTGAATGGATTAACATGATATGAAAGTCTACATCAATGAAGTTGGAGAAACTACTATTCTTCTTAGCTCAACCAAATACACTGTGTGGGAATGTCAATTCGATTCTTTGTTGAAGGCCATGGCTTTTTTGGTATTCTCGATGGCACTGAACCCAAATCAAAGGAAACTGCAACTCTTAAAACAATCGCGACGTGGAACCAGAATGATATGAAGGTTCAGTTGTGGTTGATGGGATCGATGGACACTTTGATGTGTATGAGCTTCGTCTCTTTCTAGTGGCCAATCATGTGGAGGCACCTGGCATCCACGTATTCAACCGTGAACGCAGCCCGTCAATTTGAGATTCAAACCTCACTAGCTCATTTAGAGCAAGGTGACAATTCTGTTCCTGAATACTTAAATCTTGCCCAAAAATTGTGGACCGAACAAGATCTCTTAACAGCTGGTCTAAGTCCGCAAGCTCTAGTCTATGAACTGAAGAGACTCTCCAGGGGACACAACAAACCTGTCTTGTACAATGTCTTATGCATCTTTGGCCTGAATTTGAATCTATACGATCGAGTTTATTCAACAGCAAGGATCTTTGCTTCGATGGTGTTCTTTCTCAGTTGGTACGGGAAGAGATATAATGCAATCCTCAATACCAAGACAAGTTGGCTCGAAGTCCAAGAGGAGTGGCGCTAATAGTGGTTCAAGATTCTGCAAAGATTCGGGATATAATCTTCTTCAAGAGAGAGGGAATGATGTTATATCAACTAGCACGATATTTAATTCCCTTAACCCAAAAATGAAGATTGAAATTCATAGGTATAAGTATCAATTGGTAACGTTCTTAATGGATAAATGGCACTTCAAACATTAAACAGTTGCTGACAACTCAAGGAAGTGACGAAACTTTCATAAACCACTTAATGGGATGTGACGAAACTTTCATTAAAATTAATGGGATGTGAGATGGGAGATCATGCCATGGGTTGATTTGGTTGGTTGAGTTTATTGTTGGTGGAAGGCTCCAGGAATATTAAATCTGGCTTGTAGGTGGAGAAAGAATGAAAGAGAATTAAATCTGGAGCTGTTAAAGGACATGGAGGGATTTATTCATGAAAGGAGCTCATTGTCCGCCAATGAGAAGGAAACTTGCAACGATAGTTTTTGGAGTTTATATGTTTAATTAGTAGTTTATTTACGGAAGATCCACATGCTGGACTGGAGCACACTCTATCGACCGAAAGAATAAGTAGGTCTTGAGATGCGGGATGCAACAATGTTGAACGAGGCCTTTATGAAGAAAATAGTCTGGCGTTTGACGAAGGAACCCGACAGTCGTTGGGAACGGGTTATCCGAATCAAGTATCTTCAACCTGTGGGTGATTCTCGGGTTCCTCGAACTACGGAACGCATATGGAAGGGGATTCTACGGGTCCTTAACAGGATTCCTGAAGCACTCATGTGGAACATTGGCAATGGGCAATCAACAAGGTTCTGGACTGACCAATGGCTCAATGACGAACCATTCTTAGTTGAACTGGCGGTGGGACTCCCCCAAGAAGCTTCCTCTATATCAGTGCCGGAGATGGTATTGAACGGGGAGTGGAATATTGCTTATATACAGGCATTCCTCCCGGACAACACAGTGAAGCAAATACAGATGCATGACATACCCCAAGGAACAGAGTGTGATGTGCCACGCTGGCAGTATACGGCAAACGGGGATTTCACTTTGAAATCGGCCTACGAGCTTCTTAATGAGGCGAGTCATCCCCTACATGTCCATCCCATCTATAAGAAGATATGGAAAATCCCAGCTATGCAGCGAATCGGATCTTTCTTTTGGCTGGTCGGTCGTGGCCGCCTCCTGACGAATGTTGAGAGAAACAGGCGTTATTTGACGAACGTACGCTGCTTCCAAGTTTGTGGCAAAGAATACAAATCAGTATCTTATGTCCTTCGGGAATGCCCGTATGCGAGAGAGGTATGGTCCGACTTCCATGGGGATGAGCAAGATGAGAATTTTTTCTCCCCAGAGATGACGAGTTGGTTGATGCACTATTTATCGAGGAGAAGTAAAAATATAGGCCCATCCTTGTTCGCAATTGTGTGTTGGTTGTTTTGGAAAAATCTGAACTCTCACGTTTTTTAGAAGAGAATTGCGGAAGCATCTCACATCCAGGTGACTGCTAGGAGGTTGCGGAAACAGATTGGAGAGGCGGTGAGGAAGGAATCAGTGGTCCTAGGGGAATAGAGGACAGGAGAATGGAGCTTGATTGGCTGCACGCAACCCCAGCCGGGCTGGACCTGTGTGAATACAGATGGGTTGGTGAAACTTGCTGCCTAGAGCGCCACAACTGGTGGGGGTAGTGAGGGACAAACAGGGGCGATTTCTGGGGCCTTCATGATGAATATGGGCGGCGGTACGATCACCCACGCCGAATTAATGGGTGTCTTTCATGGACTGAACAAAGCTTGGGATCTTGGTGTGCGGAAGACTATCCTCGGAACCGACTCTAGAACGGCAATTGAGCTCATTGAGTCGGCCAC